CAGGAATGACGTTTAGTCTGCATGAGTTGATGCAACAGGCTTCCCCCTTTTCATTCTGTACTGACTTCAGACTAATATCTGTGAGCCACTCTGTTGAATCTTGATGAAACTCCTGCTGAGATGCGACATGGAGCAGGGTTGTTGTGGTGTCCTTTCTTTTCCTGATGTGACAGGAGCCTCCTTTCTAGCCGTGGACTTCCTTTTTTCCAGGTGTTCATGATTAATCTGAAGCACCGGACAGACCGACGTGACCGAATGCTGCAGACGCTATATGAGCAGCAGATAGAGTGCAAAATCGTTGAGGCTGTAGATGGAAAGTAAGTGTGAAGCACAACCTTGTGGCCAGTCCAGTTCTAACATGCAAAAGTAGTGGGAACACTCATCCCAGTCAGTCCCTGGGTAGGAGCTGACAGTGATTATTTTTTTTCCTAGAGATGCAGCAGTGGGAGAAGGCAACTTGGTTGCTTGGTGGAGGGGAGAAAGAGGAGCCAGACACTCTGGATTTCAGTGCCTTGCAGTCACTGTTAAAAGCACTGAGGCCTAGGAGTTCTGCATGCACTGAGACATTTTCTTTTTCCTTCCACCTGGTCTATGGTTAAAGAGGCAGTGGAGTACAGAGGATTTGGCCTTATGCATTCCTCTGATAATCTCTTCTCTGTGCACATGCATGCACACACATCTCTTCAGGCTGAGGGAACAAGCTGCTGGTTGCATAGCACCTTGAGCTGTTTCCAGAAAAGTTGTTGTAATGACCTAAACTGCCTGTGTCCTGTATAAATTGACCATGTGGCAGTGAGTAATCCTAGAAACTTGTGTTCTGTTTCTCTACAGAAACAGCCATGTGAAAGGCTCAGGTAAGTGGCTTAGGCATTTCTTGGGGAGGGAAGTTGTGTTGGTGAACATTAGCAGAGAATCCAAAGTGAGCCTGTGATGTGTGCTGACTAGGAGGTACTAACCCTTGTTTTACTTGTTTACAGAGCTATGAACAGCAGCGAGGTGGAGGCTTTGGGGATTAAAATGCTTCCAGGTTATCAGGATCCATACCATGGCCGTCCACTCACCAAAGGGGAGCTGGGGTGTTTTCTTAGTCACTACAAGATCTGGAAGGAGGTGGGTGAGCGAGTGATACTGTGTTCTTTGGTGGATCTCTGCCACCATTGGGATATTGTTCTTCTCTGGGTCTGAGACCTGATAAAGAAAAAGCTGCAGCAAGGCAGGGAGGAGGGGCATGCTTTGCAGGTGCTCTGACTTGACTGTGAGAAGTCTCTCTCTGCTAAATTGCCAGATTGTGGAGAGAGGGCTGGAGAAATCAGTCGTGTTTGAGGATGACCTGCGTTTTGAGATTTTCTTTAAGCGACGTTTGATGAACCTAATGTACGACTTGGAAGACGAGGGCCTAGATTGGGACCTGATGTAAGTGCAGAGCCTGAAAAGTTATTTTGGTGCTATATATGATTTTTCTGCATGAAAAGGGGATGGGGAGTGAATAGTGAGATGGCAGACTGGGAGCATGGTGGGACACACACTTATCTGTGACAAGTTACATTCTGGTTACAGCAGAGGCCCATGGGCAGCTAACTACTTCAGGTTTTTTCATTGGAAAGCACAGGATTGGTGAGCGTGGAGTGTCCTTCCAACTGGAAAGTGGATTTCTGCTGTGCCAGGAAGTTGTTATTCTATAAGAGTGCCTCCCTTGACTTCTGCCTAGCATGTGTAGCTGCGGGCATGAGGATTTCATAGATTCAGGGACCCAGAAGAGATTGCTATGGCAATTTAATCTGACCTCTGACTATCACACAGGCCTCAGAACTTTGCCTATGCATAAACCCCTAATACGGAAGCCAGAGCTGGAACATACCTGTTAACACAAACCTCTACTTCTTGCTGCTCTGTGCCCCACAGCTACATTGGGAGAAAGCGGATGCAAGTGGAGCACCCAGAGAAGTCTGTGCCTCATGTGCGAAACCTAGTGGAAGCTGATTATTCCTACTGGACTCTGGCCTATGTGATATCACTGCAGGGCGCCCAGAAGCTGCTGGCAGCTGAGCCGCTGTCTAAAATGTTACCAGTGGATGAATTCCTTCCTGTCATGTTTGACAAGCATCCTGTGTGAGTCTTGGCAGTGTTCGCATGGGGCAT